CGGGCTCTCTTTTGGTTCCATATGGAGTTCATGGTGGTTTTTTCCAGTTCTGTGAAGAAAGTCAATGGTAGCTTGATGGGGATAGCGTTGATTCTGTAAATTACTTTGGGCGTATAGCCATTTTCATGATATTAATTCTTCCTAACCATGAACATGGAATGTTTCTCCATCTGTTTGTGTCCTCTCTGATTTTGTTGAGCAGTGGTTTGTAGTTCTCCTTGAAGAGGTCCCTTATGTTCCTTGTGAGTTGTATTCCAAGGTATTTTATTCTTTTTGTAGCAATTGTGAATGGCAATTCGTTCTTGATTTGGCTTTCTTTAAGTCTGTTATTGGTGTAGACGAATGCTTGTGATTTTTGCACATTGATTTTATATCCTGAGACTTTGCTGAAGTTGCTTATCAGTTTCTGGAGTTTTTGGGCTGAGGTGATGGGGTCTTCTAGGTATACTATCATGTCATCTGCAAATAGAGACAATTTGGCTTCCACCTTTCCTATTTGAATACCCTTTATTTCTTTTTCTTGCCTGATTGCTCTGGCTAGAACTTCCAGAATTATATTGAATAGGAGTGGTGAAAGAGGGCATCCTTGTCTAGTGCCAGATTTCAAAGGGAATGCTTCCAGTTTTTGCCCATTCAGTATGATATTGGCTGTTGGTTTGTCATAAATAGCTTTTATTACTTTGAGATACGTTCCATCGATACCGAGTTTATTGAGGGTTTTTAGCATCAAGGGCTGTTGAATTTTGTCAAATGCCTTCTCTGCGTCAATTGAGATAATCATGTGGTTTTTGTTTTTGGTTCTGTTTATGTGGTGAATTACGTTGATAGACTTGCGTATGTTGAACCAGCCTTGCATCCCCGGGATGAATCCTACTTGATCATGGTGAATAAGTTTTTTGATTTGCTGTTGCATTCGGCTTGCCAATATTTTATTGAAGATTTTTGCATCTATGTTCATCATGGATATTGGCCTGAAGTTTTCTTTTCTTGTTGGGTCTCTGCCGGGTTTTGGTATCAGGATGATGTTGGTCTCGTAAAATGATTTGGGAAGGCTTCCCTCCCTTTGGATTGTTTGGAATAGTTTTAGAAGGAATGGTACCAGCTCCTCTTTGTGTGTCTGGTAGAATTCGGCTGTGAACCCGTCTGGACCTGGGCTTTTTTTGTGTGGTAGGCTCTTAATTGCTGCCTCGACTTCTGACCTTGTTATTGGTCTATTCATAGTTTCAGCTTCCTCCTGGTTTAGGCTTGGGAGGACACAGGAGTCCAGGAATTTATCCATTTCTTCCAGGTTTACTAGTTTATGTGCATAGAGTTGTTTGTAATATTCTCTGATGATGGTTTGAATTTCTGTGGAATCTGTGGTGATTTCCCCTTTATCATTTTTTATTGCATCTATTTGGTTGTTCTCTCTTTTATTTTTAATCAATCTGGCTAGTGGTCTGTCTATTTTGTTGATCTTTTCAAAAAACCAGCTCTTGGGTTTATTGATTTTTTGAAGGGTTTTTCGTATCTCAATCTCCTTCTGTTCAATATATTTTCTTATTCCTGGAATTAATAATTAGGCCATTTTTTTTGGTTTCCTTAATTTACTGAGTCTATTATTCATCCTTCTCCAAAGTTTCCAAGAGAGTTGCAAAACTTTTCAAGTTTCAACATCTGTCAGATCCTTCGGGTCCTCTCTATGTTTTTTCACTGGGAATATCCCTCCTTGAGCCCGGTGCCTGCCACTCATGTGGTCTAGTTGCTTTCCAAGCCTGCTGTCCTCTGGTCATCTTGGGATCTCCCTTGGCCACCATTCTTGGAATTCTCTCTCTTCTATTTGAAATCTCCCGTTTTCAGGAGCCCATTTTTCCCTTTTGTTTTGGCTTATGCTGTTGTGTTGGTAGTCAACTTTTTTCAATAACATCTCGAAAATGGTCACATGGGAGATAAAGTTCTCGAAAGTTTGCATGTTGAAAAAATGCAAAGTTTCAAGAAGTTTATTTTATCTTCCTTTCTGGCAGATTAGTTGGATGGGTAGAGCATCCCAGGTGAGAAATCGCTTTCCATGAGAGTTATAAAGAAATTGATACATTGCTTTCTAGCTTCTGGTTTTGTTATTAAGTCTAAAGCCAATCTCATCCTTTATCCTTTGTATATGACTTATTTTTTCCTATCTGGAAACATGTTTTTCTGTTTATTCTGGATATTCTGCAACTTTGCTGTTTTGCACTTCAGTGTAGATTTATTTTCATTTATTATGCTGTTTACACTGGGCCCTTTCAATCTGAAGAACAAATGTTCCTCAATTCTTGGGAATTTTATTGTATCACTTCTCATTATATCTTCCCCTCCATTCCTCTGTCCTATGTTTCTGGAACTGCTAGTAGTCAGATGTTGGCTCTTCTTCATCTCTTTGTCTTTTCTTCTACCTGCTGGAAGGTTTCCTCAGCTTTATTTTCTAGCCTTTAGACTTCAGCTCTCATATTTTGAATCTCCAAGAGTTCTTGTTCTCTAATTATGCCTTTATCATAGCATCCTATTCATATTTTGTGGGTACAATATTTTTCTTATTTTCTATGAAGGTTTCAGTAATAGTTTCTTTTTAAAAACATTCTGCTTTCTGCATTGCTTTTCTTTCAGGTTTTTTTCTCCCATCTGCTGTTGGGATGAGAGAAATGTAACGAATTTGGTTTTGTAAGGTTAGGATTAGGTAGTCTGTTTCTTTTTCAGATTTTCAGCCAATCTTCCTATTTTCATTTTTCAGAAGTACAGTCAATTCTTATTATTCCTGGCAATTATGTTCAATTAAGTCACTGAAAACACTGCGTTAGAAAATACTGAATTATTCTCTGTAGGGGAAATACAGAGTTGGGTGCCTGTGAGCCTCTGATCACAACATTTTTGTCAACTGATCAATGCATAACCTTGTTTTGTGTGTGTTTCTGTTTAAAGGCAACTTATTTAATAAATATTATTGATTCATCAACATTGAATTCATGGCCAACCACAGTGCTATGACTCACACCTGAACAGAGCTTATTTAACACATGTATTTTCTCCACGAGGCCATCACACAGCCTTCTTGTGCTTTGGAACACCAGACAGCACTCCAGCACTCTGCTTAGAGGCATTCGAAACAGCACAATCACTCATAAAGGCACAGAAATGCAAAGAGCAAAAAATAACCAACATGCCACTAAATAGACCATGAAAAGACGTTTGTGTGCAGTTTGAAAGTTCAGACAGGAAGGCAGGGCATCAGCTTTCTCCACCTCGGCTGGGAATGTGCATCAGGCAGCTCAAGATTTTTACCATGGCATGTGTCTGTGAATGACCGCAAAATATTGTGAGTATTGATTTGGGGGTTACAAATAATTCTTAGCAAGTGGGTGAGTTCACAAATAAGGAAGCTGTGAGTAATGAGGGTTGATTGTACCAACCTGGTGTCTCCAATTGCTGAGCTGTATGATACTCCATGGCATAATGATGTTTGCTTCTTGTTGGCAAACTTACCAGGCATTTTTAGGTTTCTGTTTTCTCATCTTTACCAGTTCAGTTATGGGTTGTTTGTTTTCTCATTTTCCAAAGATTTGTTGACATCTGTTATTTGTTGCTGTCTCTTCCCATTTGTTTTGTCTTGTGGTTCTATACCTTTGCTATAATTTTCATGGAGTTTCCTGAGAGAGGAGATAAATGTATATGCTCAAGTAGTTATGTCTTCACCAGAATCGCATTTAATTTGCAACACCTTTAGTGAGGTGTTATGCATGTAATAGGTGCTTACTAAGTATTGATTGAATAAATTTTAAAAATGCCTCCTATTTTTATGCTAGCATTTAGCTTTTCTATGTAGTACATTATTATTTTATTTTACTTTATTTTATTTATTTATTTTTTGAGATAGAATTTCACTCCTGTCACCCAGGCTGGAGTGCTATGGCACGATTTCGGCTCACTGCAACCTCTGTCTGTTGGGTTCATGTGATCTTCCTGCCTCAGCCTCCCAAGGAGTTGGCATTGTAGGTGCCTGCCACCGTGCCTGGCTCATTGTTTTTTTATTTTTAGTAGAGACAGGGTTTTTGCCATGTTGGCCAGGCTGGTCTCAAACTTCTGACCTCAGGTGATCCTCCTGCCTCAGCTTCCCAACGTGCTGGGATTACAGGCGTGAGCACCGGCACCTGGCCAGAATTTCAAATATCTCATAATTATATCTGCTAAGCAAAAGACTACCTCTCTTTCTCCCCCTTATTTCTCCTACTTAGTGGAACATTGCCTAAGGAAGAAGGTGAATGGGTTTAAAATTAAAACGTGGGTCTGGAAAGCACAGCTTGTTTTAAAGCTTAGGTCTTTCCCTTTGCATCATAATTTCTTTCCTAGTCTATTTATTTCTTTGTGATTTTGTTAGTCCATTACAAAAGGTTGCAAAATTGTGGTGTGAGAAGGGATCCTAGAAACAATCTAACTTAACCCTCTGATTGATAGGAAGCTAAAAGTCCGGCTGCCTCAGTTCAAGTCTTGGCTCTACCACCAATGTAGGACAAGTTTCTTATTGTTTTGACCTCAGTTTCCTTGCCTGTAAAGTGGGAATAAAAATACTCTGGATGTTACAGGATTGTTGTGAAGATTAAGTGAGATAATTAATGTGAAGTTCTTAGTACTATGCCTGACACACAGTAAGAGCTCCACAAATTATTAACGATGGTGATGATTATTAGTGGCTAAGCTGGAGCTCCTGTTTCTCAGTTCAGTGTGTTTTACTTTAGACATATATCAGAATTTGAAAGCCTCTTTTTGGAGTCAGCTACCATTATTTTCTTTCCTTCTTCTCCTTCATTGTCTAAAGATTGCGTATTTCTCATTTCAAGCTAAAGATACTCTCAATGTTTCAACTATTGCCATATGTGTAAGGATTTCCTGAAGAGAAAAATTTAAAAAGCAGTCACTGTTAGTTGTTTGTGGTCTTTCAGATGACACTTTCTCTGAAAAGTTGAGTGTTTTTGTTTTTGCTTTTGTTTTTAGTTACAGTAATGCAATCCATTTCCTAGCACAAGTGGGTAAGTACCACTCTGACTTGGGCTGGGCTTAAAAGCAAAAGAAAAGCTCCCAGACAGTCAGAGTGGAAACACTCCCACATTTCAGTGCAGATAAATAAATGAAGGTCCAGATTATCCTTCCTGTTCTGTCTTGTCTGTGGGAGACGAGTTGCCTTTGATGCAAATTATTTGAGCCAGAAGAACATCTGTGGAACATCCCCTGATACATGAAGGTGAGTGCCAACTCATTTAGAAAAGTGATAGTTTGAATCATCTTTTTCTACTCTTTAAAAGTCTTTTTGTTTTCTTCATTATGGGTCATTATGGTCAATTTTGGGTCAGACCCATTACATAAATTTATCCTTGAACTGGTTGTTGATAGTTAAAGGAATCCAGTATTTTGGCAGGCAGTGTTTTAAAATGCTGAGATCAGAATGGCGAATCATGAGTGTTAGAGGTGAAGGATTGGGGAAAATATCTGAAAATAATGGATTTACCTTTCAGGAAACTCTAAGCTAGAGAAAATTAGAACTAGAGGATTCAGAAGAAAATCCTTGTGCGTACTGGTATTTCATGGCAAGGGAGCGCCGAGGGAGAGTAAATCACTAATAGCTTCCACATGATTTTAGTGGAAAGAGTCCAGGTTTAGAATAAGACAGTCATGAGTTTGAATCTCATTTACGCTGCTTACAAACTATTATTTTTGGATGACTTATATATCTCTTGGCCTCAGTTTCCATATCCGTAAACAAGAGATGAGTAATACAACCCCTACAGGGATTTTTAGAAGTACAGGATGTAATTTGTATAGTGTAGTTAGCACTTTGCAGGCTCTCACTGGTCCATCATGACAGTGCTTTGGCCAGTCTCACTGCTGGCTGTCTCAGAATGTTCTTTGAATGAAGGCAGCCCACAACCCAAATGGGTTTATAGGCTTTGAAACGGAATGTAGTCATCTGACAGCACATAATCTTCTCTTGGGCAATGTATATATAATCAATATCCTCATTCAAAAAGTAAGGATGTTATTGTTTTATTAGGCTGAAATTGCCATTATTGAACTGTTTTTGACTTCATAAAAATAGCAATTTCATTTGATTCAACATAAAACATAATGTAGAAATAAAATATAAAATATGCAGGCCAGGTGCTGTGGCTCACACTTGTAATCCCAACAGTTTGGGAGGCCAAGGCAGGTGGATCACCTGAGGTCAGGAGTTTGAGACCAGCCTGGCCATCATGGTGAAACCCTGCCTCTACTAAAAATTACCCACGCATGTTGGCAGGCACCTGTAGTCCCAGCTACTTGAGAGGCTGAGGCAGGAGGTTGCAGTGAACTGAGATGGCACCATTCTACTCTATCCTGGGAGAGACAGCGAGACTCCATCTCCAGAAAAAAATAAATCAATTAAAAATATAAAATATGCAAATATAAATAGTATCTGTCTCATTTACCCGAAAGGTGACAAGAATGTAAGGAGATAATAAACATGAAAGTGCTTGTGGTCAGGTGCAGTGGTTCATGCCTGCAGTCCCAGCACACTGGGAGGCCGAGACCAGCAGATCACAAGGTCAGGAGTTTGAGACCAGCCTGACCAACATGGTGAAACCCTGTGTCTACTAAAAATACAAAAATTAGCCAGGCATGGTGATGCACGCCTATAATCCCAGCTACTCAGGAGGCTGAGCCAGGAGAATCGCTTGAACCTGGAAGTTGGAGGTTGCAGTGAGCTGAGATCGCACCACTGCACTCCAGACTGGGGGACAGAGCAAGACTCCATCTCAAAAAAAAAAAAAAAAAAACAGAAAAAAGAAAGTGCTTGTAAATCTAAGGCCATTATTATTGTGACTATTATTATTACTGCAAGCTCCAAATAAACATTTAAAAGAGACTGAGAACAGACAACCCTTCTACTTCATCAGTGAAAGTAAAACTATAAAGCAAGTCCTGCCACTCTGTGAGGAATTCTGAGGGTGTGGTTGCGGGCGCCTGTAATTCTCACTACTCAGGAGGTGGGACAGGAGAATCACTTGAACTCTGGAGACGCAGGTTGCAGTGAGCGGAGATCACACCAATGCACTCCAGCCTGGGTGACAAGAATGAGACTCTGTCTCAAAAAAAAGTTTTTTTTTAAAAAAGGGAGGCTACTACTTTCTTTTAGGGAGGCTGGGCAGTGCATTGCTTGCTTTCTCCCTCACTGTGTTATGAGTCTACAGGTACTTGAACTTATAGCCATAGTCCTGGCTCTAGAAGTTACTCCCTCTCATTGCCATTTTTTCTTTTTTTAATTTCAGACAGAGTCTCCCTCTGCTGCCCATGCTGGAGTGCAGTGATATGATCATAGCTCACTGCAGCTTCACACTCCTGGCTTAAGCAATTATCTCACCTCAACCTCCCAAGTAGCTAGGACTACAGGTGTGCAACATGACACCCAGATGATTTAAAAAAAAATTTTTTTAGAGATAGAGCCTTGCTATGTTGCCTAGGCTAGTCTTGAACTCCTTGTTTGCCATTCTTTAAAAACCCAGTTCTATACCGTGAAAGATAGTGTTTGGCACAGAATGGTAATCAACAAATAATAGTTGAGTGAATGTATGAACAAATGAACCAAAGTAAGGCAAGCCCTGGGACAGTCACGTAGTGATGCATTGTTGTACAAGTGAAATGAGATGAAGCTTAGCATCCAGGACACAGCCTTGAGTGGGAGCTGAATGGCCAAGGAACAGCCTGTGAGGTGCATTTGATGGGCGATTGTGAGGGAGTAGATCAGCCACACTCTATTTCCTTTGCTTTGGTCCTGTGTGACAGGATGTAGGGAACAGGGATAATTTAACTTGCTGAAATGTGTAGCATCTCCCAGCAGAGGCAGCGGCTCCCCTTGCTTTCTTCTTCTCCCCCTGTTTCCGGCCACTGCTGATAGCCAGCAATAAGTGCTTGGACCTGTTTGCACTCATTCTACTCCAAACAGTAGCTGCTACTAGGTTTACATTTTTTTTGTTGTTGGTTTATTGTTATTGTTGCTGTTCGTTCGTTTGTTTGTAGATGGAGTCTTGCTCTGTAACTCAGGTTGAAGTGCAGTGGTACAACTTTGATCTCACTCCTGAGATCAAGCAATTCTCCTGCCTTAGCCTCCTGAGTAGCTGGGATTACAAGCTTGGGCTACCACGCACAGCTAATTTTTGTATTTTTCGTTGAGATGGGGTTTTGCCATACTGACCAGGCTGGTCTCAAACTCCTGACTTCAAGTGATCTGCCTGCCTTGACCTCCTAAAGTACTGGGATTGCACACGTGAGCCACTGCACGTGTCCTACATCTTTAAACATAGGACACCACTAGTTACTTAAGTGGCATCACTGTATATTCTAAGAGTCTAGTTTGGTATGGCGTATTTGTAGTGTTGTTGGAATATTTTAGAGCTCTGCTAAATGCTGACTCAAATGAGATCCCACCAACGTGAGACTGTTTCTAGGAAGTGACCCTGTTTTGAAGACCAGTTATTCAAAACTGCTGCATTTCAAAGTTAAGGCTGATGACTCAAGGATGCAGGAAATGGTTGATGGTTCTCCTGAAAAGCACAGCAGAATCTTTGGGAATTTCTTATGGACAAGATTTCGGGAGGCTGATTCACCTCACTTAAGGCTTCAAGAGACTGATATATTGAAACCAATGAGAAATCTTTCTAATGCCTGGAAGGTTCAGGGTCTCCTTCTGTTAAATTAGAGAGGGCATGATAGAATCAGAGCAATCAGAAAGGGAGATTTTGGGTTTTGAAGTATCTTTCATCAGGTTCATGGTGAGGTCTGCGGCTGCCCTGTCAGAGTCTATCACTCCAGTGACAGGAAATTTCATAATTTCCTTTCATAGATAGTACCGGATAAAAACTGCCAACTTCTGTCTTTGTTAACCATCACTGTTTTACCTTCTAAGTTGACCTCTCCTTACTGTTCTCAAAGTCTTTTGTTTAGGATATAATTAGTTGAGTAGATTCCTGCAACTAAATGACAATGAAGGTTTTCCAAATCTATCTCTCTGAGATCACACAGGTTTCTTTGGCTGGAGTCTTGAATGAACTCAAGCTTTTCAACTGCACATCTACCCACTGCAGATAACTAGGGTCACCTTGAACTCTCAACTGGACTTATTTCTAAGCTCCTGGGAGGCACCTCACCTTTTTTGCATTTTTTTTCTTTTTTTTTTTTTTTTTTTTGACACAGGATCTCACTTTGTTGCCCAGGCTGGAGTGCAGTGATGGGATCACAGTTCACTGCAGCCTCCATCTCCCAGGCTCAAGCCATCCTCCCATCTTAGCCTTCCAAACGGCTGAGACGACAGGCACATTCCACCATGCCTGGCTAATTTTTTTGTGTATTTTGTAAAGATGGGATTTTACCATGTTGCTCAGGCTGGTCTTGAACTCCTGACCTCGAGTGATCTGCCCACCTCAGCCTCCCAAAGTTCTGAGATTACAGGCGTGAGCCACTGCGCCCAGGCTTTGTTCACATTTTTTACCAGCAAGCAGTCCTTTTTGTGGTGGTTCTCTAGTGTGAGAGGAAAAAGTGGGAAAGGCTCTGGAGGATAAGCAAGCATTAGAATGAGAGATATGGCTTGTTGACTTCCCACACTCATTAGCTCATTTCTTTTCTTAGATACTCTTTGTGGTCATTGCACTACTGTAACTACAGCACTTACTATGTGATATAGGAGACTACTGTTCAGGCTTCTGTCTCTGCAAGTGGACTAGTGCCACCACCCCTGGCCTACATCTTTAAACATAGGACACCACTAGTTACATAAGTGGCATCACTGCATATTTCTGTTCAAACCTACTGCAGAAATATGACCTGAGAGTCTTCAGTAACAGTGGCTCACTCTGAAATTGGTAGTTTCCAAAATACTCCCTCCACCTTCTCCATCTTTCCCCCCTTCCCCTTGTTAAAAATCACTGAACTAGAATATGAGCTCTTTAAAGTCAGAGATGTGCTTTTCTTTGACTCCAAGCACCTAACACATGACTGGGACAGTGCTGCACGCATAGAAGAATGCCTGAGGTCACCAGTTTGTTTGCGAGAGGGTCAGGACCAGAACTCAGGCAATCTCTTTATTGTAAGGGAGTCAAGCAATAATTACTTAACTTAAAAGTATTTTAATATTTTATTAGACATTTAATATTGATAGGATTTTAAATGCAAAACCACTTGGCAGAATAACAGTTTTCATTTTAGCGTCCATAATTATTCATTGATTCACTTATTAAGAATGCCAGCATCAGCCGGGCGTGGTGGCTCATGCCTGTAATCCTAGCACTTTGGGAGGCCAAGGCAGGTGGATCACAAGGTCAAGAGGTCGAGCCCATCCTGGCCAACATGTTGAAACCTCGTCTCTACTAAAAATACAAAAATTAGCTGGGCGTGGTGGCACGTACCTGTAGTCCCAGCTACATGGGAGGCTGAGGCAGAATTGCTTGAACCCAGGAGGCAGAGGTTGCAGTGAGCCAAGATCGTGTCACTACATTCTAGCCTGGCACCTGGCTACAGAACAAGACTCTGTCTCAAAGAAAAAGAAGAAGAAAAAAAAAAAGAATGCCAGCATTTTGGCTTTGATAGTCTCTTAGCTTTTATAGTGTTCCTTTTTCATGTGCTTTTAGGACTTGTAAATAATGTGAGCTAAGATTAAAGGCATGTCTTCTGCCTAACAGATGGAGAAAATTAAAACAACATTCTGAATAATTAGACACAGATAAGAATATTCTTGGTGTTGTAATTATTTCTAAAGACACATTTTTTCTTCATTGGAAAATAAAAATGTTTTCCTTTGAGTTCTATATGCATTTAAATGAAAATGGCTATCTCTTGAGAGGAAAACTACTGCTACTGAGTGGTACTGGCACTCGCTGCTACGACCAGTCTTGTATTATTTCATCCCAGTGTTTTTATTAGTGTGGATCCAAGTTCTCACTCTGCTTTATTATCTTAGGCATTTCCAATTTAAGGATTTTAGCTGGTTTATATATGATAAAATGTTATCCCTCTAATTTTCTCCAGAAATGCTGGATGCACATTTTTCTAAAGTAATTTATTTTATAAAGAACGCTTTTCTTTTTCTTTCTGTAATGATCTGGCAGATGACAATGTAACATCATTTATTTTTCCTCAAATGCGTTTCTGGTTTTCCATTTGCTTTATTCTTAGACTATCTCACCATCCCATCTCATCTCAAATGAGACCAAGAGCCAGCAGCCTTTTTGTTCAATAAACAAGTAAATGCCACACATAGTATTATCTCCCAAGACCAGGCACTGCCTTAGATACCAAGGCTTCAGAGAGGAAGAAGAGAGGCTCCACTCTGGAGAAGGTCCCTCTATGTAGGGAAGCTGTCAGGTAAACTGCTGACCACCATTCTTGTGACAGATGCTGCAGAACACATGATACAGTGAGACATGGGGCACAAAGGAGGGACCAACTGGTCAACTCTGTGTGGGAGTTCAGAGAGGGTGTCTTAGGGAAGGAGAGCCTTGAGATGAGTCTGGAAAGATGATTAATTTGTTAGAAATAAGGGGAAGGGAGAACTGTGGGTATGCACAGAGCATGAAGATGTGACATAGCATGGTACTTGGGGAAACTGTGGATTGTTCCATTTGGCTGGAGGCAGAGTCCAGAAGATGGCCTCAGAGCTGCAGAGACTCACAGTGCATTATTCTTCTGGAGCATATCCTTGGAAGTTAGTGTACTTTTCATAAGACATGGTGGAGTGGACTATGGACGAAAGGAAAGCGTATTGTAATTGCAAAACTTTAAAATTCTGACTGGGATTGATGGAGTAATTGTGAAGGATCTAGGTGATGATAGTCAACAAAATAAAATAAAATAGAATCCTTCCCTCCCAAATCCCCAGATCTATTTGCCAATGGAAATACCTCTTTTGAAAAGAGGTATGAAGCAAAACACTTCTTGACTGATGTCACTTTCAGCTCTCTCCCCAGACTTCGCGTGTTAACCTGGGGATGATGTGGACCTGGGCACTGTGGCTGTTCCCTTTACTCTGCAAATTCAGCCTGGCAGGTATGTTGGCCTGGGCCCTTTTACAGATCATGTCATTATTCTTGCCTTCTTTGGACAACCATTGTTAACTTTAAAGGGACACCTGGATTATAGACATCCACAGATAGGAAAGGGGACTTGTGAACACCCTGAATGTGTGTGTGTGTGTGTATGTGTGTGTGCACATGCATGCAATTTCACATATACTCATGCATGTGCAAATGTGGTAAGTGGCTTATCATATTTTCAAAGGGAGACATGACCCCTAAAATGCTGAGATCCACTGTTTTATAATATAGTAGTCTTCCCTTATCTGTGGGGGAATATGTTCCAACACCCCCAGTGGATGCCTGAAAGTGTGGATAGTACCGAACCCTATATATGCTGTACTTTTTCCTTCACAATCATACCGATGATGAAGCTTAGGCATGTTTAGGCATGAAGAGATTAAAACAACAACTAACAATAAAGTAGAACCATTATAACAATTGACTATAACAAAAGTTAATTGAGGCTGGGCACAGTGGTTTACACCTGTAATCCCAGCACTTTAGAAGGCCGAGTTGGGCAGATTATTTGAGGTCAAGAGTTTGAGAGCAGCCTGGCCAACATGGTGCAACCCCATCTCTACTAAAAATATAAAAATTAACCGAGTGTGGTGGTGCATGCTTGTAATCCCAGCTACTTGGGAGGCTGAGATGGGAAGATCACTTGAATCCAGGAGGTGGAGGTTGCAGTGAGCTGAGATCATGCCATTGCACTCCAGCCTCAGCCAGAGTAAGACCCTGTCTCAAAAAAAAGTTATGTGAATATGCTCTCTCTCTCTCTCTCTCTCTCTCTCTCTCTCTCTCGATATCTCATTGTATGCACTCACCCATTTTCAGATGGCATTGATCACTGGTAACTGAAACCATAGAGAGTGAAACCACAGATAAGAGGGAACTACTGTAATAAGTGCTTATCTCTATAGTTTTTGTGTTGTTGTTATGGCTTCATATAATACACATACATAAATATAAAAATAAGCAGTTTTTATACTATTCACCATAAATTCCAAGGATATAAAGGGAAATAATGAAACAATATATTTCTATAGTGTTCCAACTCAAGACTACAGGCCTAATATCCATACAATAGCTTGTGGATATAAGATCGATTAGTGTGATTACATCTTATGTTTTAAAAAACATTCAGAGTAGAGGCACTGGTCTGGTAGTAAGAAGATGGAGAAGGTATCATGCAGTGTATTTGTGTGCTTGGGCTGCCATAACAAAACGCCTCAGCCTGGGTGGCTTAAGCAACAGAAATATATTTTCTCACAGTTCTGGAGGCTGGAAGTCCATTGTCAAGGTGGCAGCAGGGCTAATTTGTAGGTGGCCATCCTCTTGCTGCCTCTTTACATGGTTGTCCCTCTGTGCCGGCACATCTCCTTCTTCTAAGGATGCCAGTGAAATTGGATTAGGGCCCAACATAATGGTCTCATTTTAACTTACTTACCTCTTTAAGAGCCTGTCTCCAAAGAGTCACATTTTGAGGTACTGGGATTAGGGCTTCATTATATGAATTTTGGAAAGACATAATTTAGCCCATAACATGTAGTATTTGGGGTCACCAAGAGAGCAGTCATGACCCAGAGATAATGAGAATGCCTTCGGACTTCTGACCTGGCATGGCCTGCTTTAGCCCCCTGGGATTACACCTGTGGCACTCAGGTGCTCGATAGACCAGGGGTCTCCAACCCCCAGGCTGCGGACTGGTACAGGTTTGTGGCCTGTTGGGAACTGGGCCACCCAGCAGGAGATGAGTTGCAGGAGAGCCAAAGTTACTATCTGAGCTCCGTCAGCTCAGGAGCAGCATTAGATTCTCATCAGACTATGAATCCTATTGTGAACTGTGCATGTGAGGGATCTATTAATAGCTTGCATGCTCCCTATGAGAATCTAATGCCTGATGATCTGAGGTGGAAGTTTCATCCCGAAACCATCTGTCCCCCAGGTCCATGGAAAAATTAACTTCCATAAAACTGCTCCCTGGTGCCAGAAAGGTAGGGGCCTGCTGTGACAGACAATAGATGCTACAGGTGGGCAGGACTGTTGCTCTTCCTCTTGTCAGCACATGCTCACAGTCATCCAATCTAAACTTCTAATTACAGATACTGTGGCTCCTATGAAGTCATCCTTATTCTCAATTTGTCTTTTTCTGTCTTCTATCTCTGTTTCCACTCTTCTTATGCTGTATATATGCCAGCTCCTACAACACTGGTTCCAATGTCCACCATTCTTCCCATCTAGAATACCTTCCGCTTGGTCCTGCTCAGCCTTGCTCTTCTTCTATATCAAGATATTTTTCAAAACACTGACTCTGCAACAGCACCAAAGTGACATGAACATAGAGGGAAGAGGGGAGATGGGGAACATCTTTATAATTTTGCAAAATGTTCCTCTTGCATATGAGAAATTCTCTGATTAGAACAATTTCCCAATTTTCCTTAGAGGAAAGTCATGAATGTTTTTTCCCTTATTTCTAGAAATAGGGGAATATTTCTGTGGTTTGTATTTTCAGGGTGTAGGGAGAGATAGAGGGGAGTGACCAGCAAACCTAACCTTCAGTTGTTTGTGTTTTTATTTTAAAAAATTCTATTTTGAATAATTTTAGATTTATAGAAAAATTGTGAAAATAACATGGAGAGTTCCTTTCTACCCTCATCCAGTTTCTTCATTGTTAATATCTTATAATACTATAATACATTTGCCAAAACTAAGAAACTGATGTTGGCACATTACCATTGAATGAATTCCATATTTTATTTGGACTTTGCTAGTTTTTTCCATGAATGACTTTTTTTTTCTATTCCGGGATCCAATTTAGAGACCATATTGCATTGAATTGTCATGTCTCCCAGGTCTCTGCTGGTCTGTGACAGGTTCTTAGTTTTTCCTTAGTATTCATGAACTTGGTAGTCTTGAGGAGTACTGACAAGTATTTCTGTGTTTTTGGGGAAAACACAACAGAGGTGAAGTGTTCTCCATTGCTCGATCATGATTTTACCCATGTTTGTGACAATCTTCTGTTGGAGAGTTGAATAAGAATTAAATTGGTACACTGGTTGCCAACAAGGAGGAAGGGAGGACAACAGATGTGTAGGCTCAACCAGCCAAGGCAGTTCTAGTACACAGAGCCAAGGTCATTCAGATATGTGGAATCACTCCAGGTAACTGACACTGGAAATGGAAAAGAAAAGCATGAAAGTAGAAGTGATTGTTGATTTGGTTCAATTTTATTGCAGTTCCCCTCAACTCCCTGATCTGTGATCAGATGAATCTGAAATCCTCATACGCAGAATTAAAAGGTCATGAGGACACAAAACCAGGGAAAACTACTGTTAAATTCTTCCTCCAAGTGTGAGATTGCTGGATTTTCAGAGCAGGTTATATTGATACTAGTCAGGGAAAGTTGTTTATGCTGTAATAATAAATAAGCCTAAAATATTAGTATTTAAAACAGCAAACTACATGTCCATCACAGGTAAGTAGGGACCCAGGCTGGTGGGGTTCCACCGTCCTCAGACACACCATGTCAGCATGTGTGTTCAAGGTGTGCAGTGGCAGGAGGAGGAGAGAGAAGAGAGTCACGCACCAGCACATGAACATTTCCTCTCACATGGCAAAGGCCAAGGCAAATCCCATGGCCACCCTATTGATGAGCACTGGAAATATTGGTGAGCATTCATTTTATCTACCACAAATCTCTTCTGTAGCACCCATATCAAGAGAGCCTTTGTAAGACTACTGCTCTCTCTCACCATGTGCCAACCAGTAAGGGAAAAACCAAATGTAGTCTCATAAAAACAGCCTCAGTTGAGTGGAAAATCATTTTTGGAACCACTTACTCTTCAGATGGTGGCTCCAAAACTGATTGACACCCGGTGACACTTAATGGTTCTGAAAAACAGATATTTGACTCTCTTTTTCACTTATGGCTTCTGATGTATGATAACCAAAGCTTTTGAAGAAGCTAAGGAGAGATATTTAAGGAAGAACAGGAAAGAGCAGGATTCACTTAGGTTTGACCAGGGTGTATTTAGATCCATGAGGATCTGTTTCACACTGATATCTTAGTGGCTGGCTTTGGATTCAGCCAACACAAGGGAGAGCAAGAATGAAAAAGAAATAAAATAAAATACTACTTCAGGAGGCCGTAATGAGAATAGTATAACACTGCCAGACTTCAAACTATCCTACAAGGCTACAGTAATCGAAACAGCATTGAACTGTATGAAAACAGAGACATAGACCAATGAAAAGAACAGAGACCTCAGAGGCAACGCCACATGTCTACAACCATCTGATCTTCAACAAACCTGACAAAAACAAGCAATAGGGAGAGACTCCATGTTTAATAAATAGTGTTGGAAAAACTGGCTAGCAATGTGCAGAAAGCAGAAGCTGGACTCCTTCCTGTCACCCTCTACTAAAATTAACTCCAGATGGATTAAAGATTTAAGCATAAAACCTAACACCATAAAAACACTAGAATAAAACATAGGCAAAACCATCCAGTACATAGGCATAGGCAAGGACTTCATGACTAAAACACCAAAAGCAATGGCAACAAAAGCCAAGATAGACAAATGGGATCTAATGAAACTCCATAGCTTCTGTACAGCAAAAGAAACCACCATTAGAGCGAACTGGCAACCAACAGAATGGGAAAAAATTTTTGCAATCTACCCATCTGACAAAGGGCTAATATCCAGAATCTACAAAGGACTCAAACAGATACACAAGAAAAAAACAAATAAGCCCATTCAAAAGTTGGCAAAGGATATGAACAGACACTTTTCAAAAGAAGACATATATGAGGCCAACAAACATATAAAAAATGCTCATAATCACTGGTCATTAGAGAAATGCAAATCAAAACCACATTGAGATACCATCTCACACCAGTTAAAATGATGATTATTAAAAAATCTGGAGACAACAGATGCTGAAGAGGATGTGGAGAAATAGGAACAATTC